GCGATGGCCTCCAACCTAAGAGCGATGGCCTCCAACCTAAGAGCGATAGCCTCCAACCTAAGCGTCCCATATGTGGTGGAATGCACACCGTGGTTGAGTGAGCTTTCGTTGAGCATCGTGCACAAACGGAACTGCGAACACCCGCGGACCTCGTTGAGAATTCGGCTCACGGGGTACACCACAGTTGAGATCCTTGCAGCTCACGAAGAACACAAAACAATTCCGAAGAACACAACACAGCAAAAACAGCATGAACATGTGGGTCCCATCGCTATTCGGATGCAGGCCATCGCTAGTAGGGTGGAGGCCATTTCTGCTAGGTTGGGGGCCATCGCTAGTAGGGTGGAGGCCTGTGGGGCCCTGTGCTTGTGCGACTTCATGCCTGTAGAAGAACGGCAGCGTAGCTTCAGCAAAGTTGTAGGGACTTGACACAGCCATGCTCTTTGGCAAGATCTCGCCAAGCCTGAAGACTTGTGATGTGGAAACAGCCACAAGTACATTGCCCCAAGACTCACCACAAGTAGAAGCGATCTAGGAAGGAATGCTCGCTATGCTCCGCTTAGAACACAACACACACCTGCAGTTCAAAGGTTAACTACAGTAAATGAACTCGAGGTGTGTGTTCCATCTTGATCGTCGCAAATGAAGCAGTGTTTTTGTCCGGAGGTGAATGATCATATGCAATCCATGGATGACAAAATATGACAAGCAGTTCCCAAAGCAACGAAGCACACATTCTACAGTCGGTTCTTGCTTGTTCATCCAAGTCGAAGGAACAGTGCGACCAATAGCCTTTCACAAGCATGCTATACCTAAGGGTTCTCATTCGCCCAGTCGAGGGGATTTATTATATAATCATTCGAACAGGTCAGCTTGGGATCTGAAACCTTCTTTCACTATTGATACGCCTTTGCATTCCTGCCAGTACACATCTTGACGAAGCGATAAATTGTGACGGACAACATGATTTTGGCCAAATGTTGAGTCAGGTGGTGACATGACTCACGTGTTACATCAGGGTCAACATGACAGCGAACAATTCACGACAATGCTCTGAGTCTGAGCTTTTCCAGCTGAAATCAAACACATCTTGGCTCAATTCTGTATATCCTCTGAACGTAACCCAAACGCATGGCAGTTCTCCTTTGTGTATATCCACGATTGCAATTACTTCCACAAGGAAGGCACGATCATACCGTGTGTTAGCTGTTGCAGTGGAGAAAAACACCCACCAAAATGGCATGACCATCGCAGTTGGAGCACAGAAATATGTGTGTGTCGAGGTTAGTTCATTCCCTCACAAGTCTGTCGGACTGTCGGACGCGTGCGGGGTCGAAAACGTCTGGAGCATCATTCCAAGCTTGTGGTGTGATTCAATTCTGGCTACGCACATACAGGTGCAGCAAGGTGTGTAAAATGTCACCCATTTGCGTGGCAGGTGCAGTACTCAATGAGAGCTGGACTTGTTTGGAGTCAATTGTCGCAGTAGGCGCAATGAATCAGCGGCTTTTAGTGAAGGTGATGGTCACGGTGCTGTGCTGCTTGGCAGTGCTGTGTGATGTGTGTGTTTGTGAAAACTCTGGAGTCAAGCGTGTCTGTTTAGACTCGTTTAAACGTTTCAGTAGGTGGGGGTGTTGGGGCTTGTGCAAACGTACCTGCTTTTGATCGCACTCGGGGTCTAAGTGCAGCTGGGTCCTACCCTGTTGGTACCTACCTTTAATTAGAACAACATTGCTGGCCTTTGCATGCGTTGTTTGCTACGTGCCGATGAACTCGACGATGAAACTTATTGAATCTTTGGGATTTGGGCATTGGCTGATCAAATTCCTTGTGGGTTGCTCAGCCTGTTTCATTCCTTTTCACTAGAATCACTAGAATTTCTGAAGCATGCACCGGGGAACCTCACCCCCACCTAACGGTGAAAGGAAAACAAAGCAGGAACCGCGTCTTCGTGCTAACTAATGTGCGACTCTTTTAGGAACTCTTGTGGGGACCAGCCCACAAAGACTTTCCACCCCTTGGAGGAAGCAAAGGTGCAAAAGATGTTGCTCATCTCCCGTGAAGCTGACGATGCACTTAGAGGTGGTTCCCGTCTGACCTTGACCCCAAGGCGGCGGGCGCAACTACCGTGGTCTGGCCAGGCGGTTCGGTCTGGCCGTGCGCACGAGAAGTGGCAGTGCTGAACCAAGGTTTTTCCATGAACAACTGGCGTGTTCTTTCGCTTCTAACAATGTTCAACTGATGTCTCAACAAAGCCATTGTTCCACAGGGCATCTGCCATAACAAACACCATTCACAATTCACACTGAATTTTGGTCGCCTCGTGCAATTGATACAACTGTGCTGTCTGTCCAACTGTGCAACAGACTGCCCCGCCAACATTCCGCAGGCACGCCATTGCGCCCCACATTCTCTGATTTCATTCCCCTCGTCTAACATGTAGGGGATGTGAAGAAAACAATTGCTCAAGTCAAGTCCGTACTTCCTGTGAGACGAGACTAAAACACCAACATTCCATTTGCAGTCCATCTCATGATGGAATATGCAAGGTCCGCAAACGGGCTGCTGTATCTGCTGAAACAGCACTGTGTCCCAGGCTCACCGGTGGTCAGAAGATGCACGAGACAGCTGTCACACGTGTAGTGAAGGTAAGAATACGCAAGAATCTAAATGCTCAAGATGTGCATTGTGCATTGCTAGGACACTGCGTACAGATTGAAGGAAAAAGGATCTAAAGCATGCCATGCAACATCGAGTGTAACTGAAGGCAAAAGAATCCCAAACCACATGTCAATGTACAGAAATGCCAAGCTCATTGAATTGCTAGGAAACAAAAAAACAAAGAGAAATGTAAGGAAGGGTTCTTGAAGAAAGGGAGGCCATTGCTATTAGGTTGGAGGCCATCGCTAGTAACTCCGCTAGTAGGTTGGAGGCCATTACTATTAGGAAGGATTCTTGAAGAAAGGGAGCACACTCTTGCCACGCATTCCAGACTGGATCCCTGATCTGTAGGTCCCGCGCGTTAGTTGCACCAGGGTCACGGACACGGTCGCCTGAAAGTACTTGACAAAAGTGAATGGCACACCCTGATCTTGCAAAAAGCACCTGTGTACAATACATATATCCAAATATGTGAGAAAATGACCGGAAACAGGACTTGAAGGCAAAAAGCGAGCCTAGTAACAAGTGCCACGCTAGTAGTAACAGGTGCCTTACTTGTAGTAACAATTATATAAGCCAAACTCTGAAATCACCTACCAAGGTTTGCTTGGCCCCTGACAATGCCAAGGCCTTTGGGCCCAAAGAGTTGCCCACAGATTTCCGTGATGAACGCCGTGCTCACCACACCTCCACGGATGAAGATGAAAATACATATCAAAACTTGAAGTAGTACATATCTTGACATGTCTTGACTTGTGGAGTCACATGTCTTTCATTGTCTTGACACCCTTGACTCTTGGCATGGCCTGCTAAGGTAGCGCCAATCAAGATCGTCTGCATGAATCGCTGGATATCTTCTCTTAGTGCAGTCCATTTCCCGAGCTCCACCTGCGAATGAATCTCTAAAATTGCAAACGTGTTTTGCTTTCTTGTTTAAAGGGGGGCAGGCCGCTAGAGGTAGCTAGTAGGAGCTAGGTCGCAGCTAGGTAGCTAGTAGCTACAAGAACGCTACTACCTTGGATGCAGGATAGCTCGCGCTTCGTGAAGGAAGCTCCCCCGCCGCCGTAAGCGCTCGCACTGACTGATGATTTGGTTCCTAGATTTTTAGGGAAACTTAAGGTTGGAGGCCATCGCTAGTAGGTTGGAGGCCGTTTCTATCTGTGTCCTACCAAGCCTTGGCACTGGCGCGTCCTCCATTTTCACGCAATTCTCTGACTTTTTTCTCTGCCTAGCGCATAGCTGAAGCCATGTCTTGCAATCAGGATAAACAAAATGCACAGAAGGCACATAGTAACATTTTAGGAAACACTTTGAAGATACACTCACTGAGCCAGCGAAGAGTTTGGTTCCTTTAAAAAACGATTCAGCTCCTTCTCCGACTCCCGCTGGGCATACTCCCGGACTTTCCATGGCCACAAGGTGGTGATCGCCGTCTCCGTACCCGCACACACGGCAAAGGCCACGAATGCAGCACAGGAGAAGGCCAGATCTGCAGCCAGTGAGCCACAAACTCCGTTGTAAGCCTTGACTCGCTCAGCGAAAGTGCCCCAGTTGGCCCTTCCAGATCCGGAATGGAACATTCTCACCAAGACCGTGCAAGCAGCCGCTCCTGGTGTCGAATGTGGGCATGACGGAGCATCGACATGACCTGCTGAGTAAAGACTTTGCTTCTTGTTACGTTCGTAGTAATGCTACTAGTAAGGCCAGGAGCGCCCCCAGTACCCCAGTAGCGTCCTTCTTGTTCCTAGTAGCGATGCCCTTTGTTCCTAGTAGCTTCTGATTCTTGTTACTCTCTTTCGCTCCTAAGAAGGCAAGGATTGCCAGTGATCTTCTTGCACTACGCTTCACACCTTGGTCCGCCACGGTCATCGTTGGCCTTCTGCGTCTGATCGATAGGTTTCTTGAAGCCAAGCTTGCATGTAGTAGCTTCAAGGTCCAAAAGTTAAGTGTCCCTAAACAACTAGTAGCTTCCTTGCTACTACAGCCTGCTTCCACCAGCCTATGGGCCATGTCTTTTGACAAGAAGTAGTGAAGCCCAAACAGATTGCGGCCATGCGCCTTGCTTCCTCTTTGACGGCTTTCGCCCTCCCGAACAACGCACCGAGCACCTCCAAAGAAGTCATAGCATCCGCAATATTTCAATAGGAGAAATGATGTACAATGAAAACACATGCAAACGTGCTTTGAATATAATGCCACATATTTGTGCTTCTGTACTGCAAGCAATCGGCCTTTTCTGCCGGCTTGTCTTCACATGTGCCATAAAGGTCACCGCCAGCGAACATCCACATCCCCATCTGGTTGAAAGGCGTCCATAATCAAATTGGTGTCCGTGGGCTATGGATGCACTCAAGCCTTGCAATAAGTTCAGACTGAGAACTCGAATGCGTTCGAAGAGCCATCAAAAATGCTCAGTGACGTTTTGAAAGTCGCACACTTCTTCAATCATTGACTATTCTGTGCAGGTTGCCTCTCTGACCTTCTGCAGGGAAGACCACGACGACCGGCGCAACTGCCACTTGAGTAGCCATTGCTTAGAGCCAGTCTGCTGGACTACTGCCAGGCTCTGCAGAAGTACCCTCAAAGGGTACAGGGTTTACAAAACAAGGGCTTTGGTCTTAGCTAGGCTAAACAGCTCGCAAGCACAAGCTACCGAACTGTCTAAAGTGTAGACCATATCGGAAAATATCTAAAAATATCTGGATTGTGGACTTCTAGAAGCTGAGCCGCTACGAGAGGATCTGCTGAAGTCGCGAGTGGATTCTTTTTGTCAAGGACGCTATTAGGTGGAGGCCATCGCAAACAGTAGGTTGGAGGCCACCGCTACTAGTAACAAAGGGCATCGCTACTAGGAACAAGGACGCTACTAGTAACTCCTGGCACTACTACCAGTAACAAGGACGCTACTAGTACAAAAAATCCTTGGGTCCCAGCGCCGGAGTTGTTGTAGGCTTCCACGACGAGTGCTTCACTTCTTTGACCGATGGCCTCACAGGCCGTACAGTAAGTGGAAGGACGCAAAAAAATACCTTCCCAGATTTTGCCCTTTAAGCCTGAGTCCTTAGGAATAACATGGAATAACTGAATCACTTATTTGTTTCCTTAAGGTGATGCCTTATCGTCCCATCTTGTGGTTCGCTCCTCTCTCGGCAAGATTGAGACTTCAGGCATGAGAACATTCAATCTCACAAGTTGAGGTTCGCACGAACTCTCCAACAGCACATAAGGACCCAGAACTGCCTAGCGCAACTGTTGCACGAGATGCCGAGGTCCAAGGTCTATGCTTGTTTGGTTACTCGGTTGCTCCACCTGAGAATTCCTTTCATCTGTCATGAACTGCTGCCCACCTTTGCCGTCGTTTGTCCAAGCCTCCTGGAAAGATCAACTTCTGTCACGTGCTACAAGATGCTGCTGGTCTTTCTATGCCCAGCTCCCGTCATTAAAACGTAGGGAAGCACGGAGCAACGCCGCTGTGCTTGGCAAGGGCTCGAACGCCATAACCTCACAGCACTGCCGGAGAGTCCATTTTATGCTTAAAAGGAAGGGCCTCCGACCTAAGAGCGATGGCCTGCAACCTAATTGCAATGGCCACCAACCTATTAGCAATGGCCTCCAAACCTAATAGCCAACCTAATTGCAATGGCCACCAACCTATTAGCAATGACCTCCAACCTAATAGCCAACCTAATTGCAATGGCAATGGCCCCAACCTAATAGCCAACCTGATTGCAATGGCCACCAACCTATTAGCAATGGCCTCGAACCTAATCGCCAACCTAATTGCGATAGCCACCAACCTATTAGCAATGGCCTCCAACCTAATAGCAAACCTAATTGCAATGGCCACCAACCTATTAGCAATGGCCTCCAACCT